ACCTGGAACCGTACCGAAAGAATAAGAATGGAGCGCGAAGAAATCAAATTGGTTTACACTAGCTCGTGAAAAAGATATTGGATATTGGATATTGAAGAGTCAGTCAGATCATAACACAAATATATATACATGGAGGGATTTTGCAAAAACAAAGCCTTCAAAATAGAGTCTACAGCCTGTATAAATCAATCGACTCAAACGCAATAAAAAATTTGGACAACTAATTCTCAAGTACAGAATGGCGCACGAGAGATATCCTTTAGTACAGATAAACCAGAGATGTATAATATAATAATTATTGTCAGAATTAAGCACAATAATAAATAAATAAAAGGCGAGTAGAACCATGTTGCCGATGATCTATCTTGTGTCCAGGTAAATGCAGTTACCTTACCTGTGCTTGATCTTTCTCCTGTGGCCGCTGCCCAAGCGAGCGATCCCTCCTGTGCATAAGCACAACAATCTACATCGCTTCAGTGCCAGGAAGTACCACCAGCTATCACCTCAGGTACTATCCTGTGTGAGTACTCTGCTGGTCTCCTCCAACCCATTGTGCCTTCTGCTCATCAGTGTCTAGTCTTCGGCGCCCTCCATGGATTGTCTCATCCAGGTATCGCAGCCATATTGTCTCATTGCTGGACGTCCATGAATAAAGATGTCCGTATGTGGGTAAAGCAGTGCTTGGTAAGGTGCGTATACGCACTATCACCTACCACCCATCTTCGAATGGTTTAGTTGAACGGTTTCATCGCCAACGAAAAAAGCAACTGGTACGAAAACTTATCGTTCCACTTCTTAGGTATCAGAACTAGTTTAAAGGCAGATATTCAATGTTCCGCACGACATTGCGTCTGTCTGGAGAATTTCTCACACCATGTGGCAGTGATAACTTTACAAAATCACACCACGTCCAACGATTGTCTGAATTCATGCGAGCACTGCCTCCGGTGTCAAATTCAGTACAACATCCACAAGGCGCTCGCCTTCTAGAGTTATCTTGTAGTGCCTCCACATATATTTCAGTTCTCTCACATCTAACTTGGTTAAGCCCTTTCGATTAATTTATTTAACCAAGCCATTTGTATAGCAACAACTCATATGTACCATTGGTATTTTTTATTATCTGCTTTGTATGAGCTTATACGACTGAGCATTGCTTACGCTTACGCACTTACTCATCCTTTTCGCTTTAATGTTAATCTCGTAATATTCCCATGAACTCACATGATTTGTATCGCTTGCTTTTGACCTTGTCAATCATTCGTCGCTTTTATTCATGTCTGTGCATACCTATTTCGCTTGTCATATGTCTGTCCTATTCCTATCTGACTATATATTCTTAGTCATACTCTATCTCTTTGAGTTGGCTCAACAGCCTTCTCCTATTCGCTTCGCCCATTCGCTCGCATTGTAGTTAGAAGAGTTGGCTCACTAGCCTTCTCCTATTCGCTTCTTCAATTCGCTATGTGGTGTGCCTCGAATAAACGTATACGATACTTGGAGTTCATCTTCTGATTTATAAACCGAGCTTAAGAACACGCAGTTATAGGCACACTACATAAATGGTGAGCCCTACGTCAACAAAATTGGCCACCATCCATAATGGTGAGCCCAACCTCAACAAAATTGGCCACCATACATAATGTTGAGCCCGCCGTCCTCAGGATGTTTCCTGATGCTGACGAAAAATCGAACGCTTCCAACTAATTGGTAATTTCGACGTAGAATCGAACGCAATCATTCTTCTGTGCATTCGCTCGCCAGTGCAGTACAAAATGGTTATCCCGACGTCAGCAAAATCGGCCACCGTACAAAATGGCGAACCCGTCGTTCATTCATATCACTCCCTATTTGCTTCGCTCGATTCGTTCGTCCATACGTCTTCACAGAAGATCAGTAAACTCTCACTACATAATTCGACGATTCCGATGACAAATCGAATATAACCAACCAGTTGGTAATTTCGAGGACAAATCGAACAGAATCACTAACTGGAAATCCCGACGCCATGTAGCGACAAAGCAGTTCTCATACTTAATGCATTAGCTGAATGAATCAAGCATTATCTTGTCGTCATTTTGATTATGTCCCAACTCGTCGCATTAATCTATTTCTCGAAATATCGCTATCATTATCGTATTAATATGAAAGAACCATTATTATGATTAATCATGATATTATGAAAATAATGGGATTATCTTAATCGCTAATCGAATCGCATTACGAATATTGTATTCACGGCACGACATTTGTAACTCACGGAATTATTTTACTTCTTTCGAAAACACGAACGACGTTCATGATTAAGGTGAGTTCATTCCATTTATTTTGCCGTTTCGCATTATCATGTTTCGAATCGCTTAATAAAGCAATGGCTCAACGACAATTATCGTCCATTAATATTTCCGTGGCTATACGATTATCGCATTGGAGATTTCTTCGATGTACTCATCAGCTGCTCGTACTCGAAAATCTTGCAGCCTGCTAAGTAAATTGGTGGTATGATCTTACGCACATGCACACGAAGCAGCAGTTCAAGCAGTCGAGCGAACCTCCTGCACGCTGATATTAGCATGTTTTTCGACTACCCCAACGCTGGCAACGGTTTGCAACGCTATCATACACATAAGTTTGGAGTCATATACTCAATGGTAGTAACTTATGTTTTCGATATGCATTTAATGTCCATGCATCGCATCTGTACGCAGCTTTATTCTCCAAATTTTTTCACGATAATCTTGACCGCAATTTCTTCACCAATCTGCAGCCACTCCATTTATAGATGAGCCTTACCGTAATGTCTATGCGATTATCGAATTCCGTCTTAACTGTCATGGCTAAACGATATTAAATATTTTGCAGCATTTGTATTACATTTTCTTATCGTACAACTGCTCCTAATGTATTCTATTCGAAATCGATTATTTTTGCTAATAACCGCTTACCATATATTTTCGATCATCTGTTAATATAATAATAATAATAATAATAATAATAATTTATTCTCAAATAACTAAGTTACAAGAGTCACGCCAGTTTACAGGCTAGATCAAATTGTCACAAATGCTTTTGCAATTACTGTAAAATTTATAGCAGTTAAATTAAGTATAAGAGACAGTTTCTGATTGCATATTTACACCATATCACTGACAGAAACAGTATTATACAGACACATTTTCAATATTAGAGTACAAATGAGGAAGGTGCACAATAGGTTCCATTGGCGATTGGCCGAGATCATTAGTGAATTTGTTGGGAAAGGTCATATGGAACGCGCTTGATACGAGCTGTGATCCAGACAGTCATGTACATAGGGTGCATGTTCCCTAGAGTTGCCAAGGACTTCCCACCGTGAATGGGGTTCTGAAAAGGAGAAGAGAGAGAGGAAAAGGCAGCAGTGTGGCAAGTGTATATATATAACCAAAGCACTACTTAACCTGTCATGTTGAAGTAGTCAATACAGTAGTAAGTCAAGATAAAATTCATACTGACCACCTATTTCGCTTGTCATATGTCTGTCCTATTCCTATCTGACTATATATTCTTAGTCATACTCTATCTCTTTGAGTTGGCTCAACAGCCTTCTCCTATTCGCTTCTTCAATTCGCTATGTGGTGTGCCTCGAATAAACGTATACGATACTTGGAGTTCATCTTCTGATTTATAAACCAAGCATAAGAACATGCAGCCATCGAGCACACTACAGTTTGTCTGTTCGCATGTTTTTAGATGAGTCGATTCGGTGCGCAAATCTTTGCAACAACATTGCGAAGGACCCTCTCACGTGATTTCTCGTCACAGAATGTCCTTTAATGTTGCTCAACATTGCTGCATTGAGATCGTCAGCATTGATCGTCTCAAGCCAGCACACGTCCATGACAGTGACCTACTCGCTAATCCGAGACTCACTGCTGAACTTATCAAACGTACTAGCGAGTTCCTTAAAGCTACTTTGGATCCCACGCTAGACAAATCAGAGACCTCATTCTCACGTCCCAGTCAACAGAAGGCGTCATGCACGAGACTACTGTCTTGCGTTCTGGTCAACGCGTACACCTACCTGTACGTTCTTTCAAATGACTACTCAGGCAACTAGGGATACGCTAAAGGACACTGTCATCGTACTACATTTATGCTACACTTTTCTCTTTTGCTTTCGTTTTGTATCCTTTGCCCATGTCTACGACCATCACCTCGTTGGTTCCGTCAACTTCAGTCAATCTTGGTGAAAGTTAGCCTGATCACCCACGCTGTTGTCAATGCACTCAGTCGATGTTCTGGTTTTGAATGTTCTTGTATACGTATGGTTTGGTCGTTTCTGGCCCCCTCATTAGATCTGGTACCGTCCTACGCTTGCAGCTTATTCTGGACCGGGCCGGTACGAACGCAAACTTCAGACTCTGGATACGAGCCACGCTCAAGAATGAGCATTCCGTGTTGTTAAAGTCAAGGGGGATCCAGGCTTAAACTTTAACCAGTGATAGATATTTACAGCTTTAACCTACCATAAAGAATCTGATGGACTATTAATTGGATACATCTAATGTCTAAACTGCATGCACGATTGTTAAGATTACACAGAAAGGTCTTAAATCCTATCCATTGATGCTGATGCTCTAAAACAATCAGTTCTGAGAGCTTCCAGATCAACCATGGTATTGCTGAACAACATCAATATGGTCTGAATCCCACTTCCAATTAAAAACTAACTATGGTTTATACAAACACATTTCCAAAAGTTTGTCCACTTGCTAGTATCGCCGAAATAAGTCTATTACACCAATTATATGGGAACTAATACGTCGTAAGAAATATAAGTCTGGCTATACTATGTAGTGGAATCAATTCCAAGATGAACTGTTAAGTTTTTTCAACAGGAAATAAACGATGAAAGTTTCTGACATATAAAAGTTAAAAAACTCTCTTATTTAAAAATCATTTTTATGACAACATTAGCCCTATAGTTTTAATAATTATGCTATATTATAATGAATCCGAGAGTTCTATGTAACTACGTTCTCTGTATCGTCTATTGGACATCCTTTCCTTTCGGCGCGTAGTTAAGATTAGTAACGAAATGAGCGTTGTTCTTGGATTACTTTCACTACTTCTTGTTGTAGTGAATGCTAGGAGTGAGTTTTTAATGTTCATATCTGAAATTGTAGCTTTCTTTAATCACTGCGGCAGTTTTTCAATCTTTACTCGGTGCCACATTGTGAAGAATATAGAGTTCTCTCACTTGAGTTTTCCGTTATTAGGCGATAAGATTTCGTCACTGTTTGATTGTCGATTCGTTTTTGAGGATGTTCATGTGTCTTTCGTGGGACTTTCACTCACATTGTTGTTAAACAGCGATATTATTATGAGTGATGGAGATTCGGAAAATTTTTTCCAATATGTATTCGAAAGACAGTTCCTATTTTTGAAGTCATAAATGACTACGTTTAATTAGCGTAAACGAAAATGAAACAGTTGACCTTTAAACCAGCCTTGTAATTTTTGCCCAAAGGTAGTTCCTTGGTAAATAGATGTGACGTTTCTAGTCATTTTGACTCACCACATTTTCGTAATGGTTTTGAAAAATCACTCTTCAATGCTGATAGTTCATGTAGCGGTACTGGTTGCTGAGTTGCATTATTATGTGATCTCCCTATGTTAGATACACTTGCGTTCCAGACAATTTTGATAATTTATTGACGCTCGTTGGATAGATAAGAACGTTATAACGGTGCCTTAGAGAAGGTAATTCACTAGTATCCCCGCTTATTTTAATTATCGCCAACTCTAAACTGCGGATTTTACTTTAAATGGACTGTCTGTGATTCGAAGTTATGAAATCTCTATATCATTACTGAATAAGCCACCCAACCACACAACCCTCTCTCAGTAAGGCTGCTAAATAACCACATGTATGTATGTCATGTGGCTTTGGTGTTTTCGGACCGTGTGGTTGTTCGATATTTTCATCAATCCTTCTTCAAAACCCTACCATCAAGTTTGTATCTTGCCACTCAGTCTTGTGTGGGTTTTTTCCATGTCAGAAATCCATTAAGTCACTGACAAGTGGACTGAGTCATGTAGATAGGTGGGATTTGAATTGACAATGTTGTGTGTGCTAACGTTGTATGGCAACTTGAACTTCTGTACTTACGTGCAAAGTTCTACGTTGCTGTTGATGGTGTTAATTTTTCTATCAGTCAGCTACAACTTAGAACTTCGTACATACGTACAGCAGTTGAATTTGCCATATCACATTAGCACATACAGATAAAATTGTCAATTCCAATCCCATAGTAGTAAAGGTAGCAGAAGTATTCGTAGTGATAGAGATAGCGAAACGATGGGGACTTATGTATCAGCAGTCTCATTATCTAAAGTTTTTTTTAAGATATCTGATATAAACATCATTTTATTCTTTAAAATACGTCAATCTTCGTAATTTGTTTCATCGCTTTAACTACTTTTGGATATTTTTGTTTGTCTCCAATAATTTTTGTCTGTAAAATCTTTTCAGTTGATTGTGGAAACACGGTGAAACTTGAAGTTGACATTGATAACGTCCAGTCGCATGGCATATCTTATAAAAAGGCAACTGTCAAGAAATCCGTCCCAGCAAATGTTGTCTTTAATGTGATTGCCGACAGAAGGCCAATAGAGGTTTGAAATCGGAATATATATATTTCTTATTGTTGACTATCTAGATTGAATCTATTGATTGGATGTACAATAATGTATCGATTAATATTGGTGATAGCGACAATCAAGATATATATTACATAGTTGAGAAAGTTAATTCTGGTTTCACTGTTACACTGCATATCAAAATGCCAAGTAATCGTTTTAAGAAACAAATGATGATTTTTAATATTTATAGCCTCTCGTGTTGCTGGTACCTGGGTTCTTACAGTAATTGCAAAGGATAATTCTAAACATATTGGTGTTTGTTATGTTTCATGTAAGTTTTACATATTGTAGTTTTTATAGGTCGTATTACTTCTGATAACTCTTATCTTAATTGTTTGAAACCCAATCTTGAAGCAACATTTCGCATTTCTAGGGGGAAAACCGCCTCCCGAACATGCTTGTATTGTTGCTTAGGGTAGTCAGAAGACTGCATTTTGTCAGCGTCTTCACCAAGTAGGACTATGTCATCGGCAGATTCTAAGTCAATAAGCGAACTAGCAGGTAAAAGGTCTACTCCTGAAAATTCAGACGAGGATAATGTTATGTCTAAGAGCATGTCTATGATAAAATTGAACAAGAATGGAGAGAGTGGACATCCCTGACGGACACCACTTGAAGTAAAGAATTCCGATGACAGTTCGGCATAAGCTCTCACTCGATCAGTGGTGTTCGAGTAGAGAGCTTGTATAAGGTTAATGTACTTCTTTGGTACACCTTTCAATGACAGACACTGCCGTAGAACCTCACGATCCACTGAGTCAAATGCCGCTTTAAGGTCCAGGAACACAACTACTGTAGGACGCCGGAATGTGTGTCTGTGTTCCTGACGCTTTTTCAACTTCATTAAAACTAGGGGGACTTATGTCGATTTGCCATTCAGGATGACTGGAGATCGTGGGTAACCGAAGAGTGGCTCGAGGCCAGTTGAACTGATCCCTAAAGTGTTCTGCCCATTGATCCAATCTCCTGGATTGAGAATGGATAATAAGACCGTCCTTTCCCGAAATAGTCTAACTCAGATTTGGGTTCCTAATGCCAGTTTCCTTGATGAGTCTAAATAGTTGTCTACTGTTGCCGATCGCCGCTGCCCTTTCCATCGCTTTTGCTTTTTCCGCCCACCACTGTTCACGGTCGTTACGTAGGCTTTTTATCAGCCTGTCTAAGCTGACTCCGCTCCTCATCGCCCTCAGAACCAGGCGGGATGAGTTTTCGAGCATCCATCAGTTCGGTAGATGCTATTGAGATCCACGGCTTCATCCTAGCCTTATGGTTTACCTTACTAGCAGATATCACTGCTGTTTCCATAGCCTTTTTGATATCATTCCAACCTGCTTCCGGATGGGAATCGCTTACATGGTTGCCTAACTCTCTTTCTCGTTGCTCCTTAAATATATTCCTAGCTTTATTATCATTAAGTAAAACCCTAAGAGGCTTCCTTACGGTGTCTTTCCTACGCCCAGTAAGCCTCAAACAAACACTCGCTCGCACTAGGGCATGATCTGAATCTAAACATGTGCCCCAAAACGAGCGACAGTCCTCTATCGAACCCCTCCATTGGAGGCTGATGGCAATGTGATCTATTCGGGTCCAACGTTGAGACGACTTTGGAGGTCGCTAGGTCAAGAGATGCTTTTCCTTATGCTTAAAGTTAGTAATTGTTTGAACGGTTTTGTTAATCGAATCGCTCAACTTGTATAGTTGAGATTGTTAGATAAGTTCGCGTATGGTGTAGATATATTCAATTTTTATCTTTCTGTGGATCAGCTTCAAGATTATTTTATACATATCATTCTGTTCATCCACTTTTCCTTATCGCATTATTTTTTAACGCATTTAATTTTTTTATATCACTGATGTTTCTACTACTTCTTTATTATTATTATTATTATTATTATTATTCATCTTGGTATTTTCATCTCAATTTACTGTGTAGTGTGTATAGTTCTCGAGTTAAGTTGAAATAAACTAAATTATCATAGGTGTAAAACTCATTATTCTATCATTAGTATGTTAAGTGTTGATATTATCAAACCAACAAACGAAGTTGCCGGACTTAATCTGGTTCTTGTTTTGAAGTTTAAATATTTGAATGTTTTACGAGCTTATTATGCCAATTATTTGCATGCCTATCATGAAGGAGGATTATATGCTTAGACATTATCAACATAGAGTTTGATATTTAACTCAAAATGTATTATTAAATTATTTTAGCACAACAAAGTAAAGTTTGTAGATCAATTTTCAGTTTTTAAATCTTTTTAGTTACCCTGGTCTCAATCAATCAATCAATCAATCAGTCAATAGCAACGTAGAACTTCGTACGTACGTACATCAGTTCATGTTGAGATACCGCGTTAGCAAAGAGATGTAATTGTCAATTCAAGTCCCATGGTAATAGAGGTATTAGCGGTAGTCGGAGAGGTTAGGATTAGAAGAAATTATTATTCAAGAAGTAGAAACTAGTGAAATAGACTTAGAAAGATAGAGGTGTTGCGGAATTCAGAAGGTTAGGATTTGACAGAACACAAAGAATGAACGCACCTGCACCATTGTCAACGGTTTCGAGCCATGTCATTCAAGGTCTCTAACCATCGATTACTATCGTCTCGCCGACCCCGACCAGGTAGCCTACATCTACCAACATGACTCAGTTCACTTTTCAGTCACTTCATGAATTGCTGCCATGTCTTAGTCTGGCCGCCATTAGCTTTCGTCCAACCTATTCCTACACCGCAAAATATAGCTCGTCGAGGCAGTCGGTGGTTAGGCGTACGCAGCACATGTCTCAGCCACCTCAAATGATGAAGTTTCATTACTTCATCATTTGGATTACCATCCTTACCTAGCACCCGTTTCCTAATAACAACATTGCTCACTCGGTTGTCCCACGATATACGAGCAATGCTTCGAAGACACCTTTGATCGAACACCAGTAACCTACGAAAATCTTCTACTCTCACTGGTCATGTTTCACAGCCATATAGTAGGACGGAGCGAACTACTGCACAGTACACTCATCCTTTAGTCAGCAAAAGGATATCTCGCCTACGCCATAAACGACGCAGGTTGGCAATTGCCAATCGAGCCCTGCGTATCCGTTTTGAGATTTCGTCAGTCACCAGGACATCAGTACTGATGAGACTCCCCAGATAAGTGAGGCGGTCTACACGTTCGACTACTCCACTCCCTATCACTAGTTCAGGTGCCGATGCAACCCAATCTTGAAGCAATATTTTGCATTTCGATGGGGAAAACCGCATCGCGAACATGCTTGCATTGTTGTTCAGGGTAGTTAGAAGACTGCATTGTGTCAGCGTCTTCACCAAATAGAACTATGTCATCGGCATATTCTAAGTCAGCAAGCGATTTTTCTGGTAGAAGGAGTTACACGGATCTAAGAATATCTCAAACTGATGATACTTACTTTACTACTACTACTTTCGCCTGTTACCCCCAATGGAGCATAGGCCGCCCACCAGTTTTCTCCAACCAACTCTGTCCTGGGCTTCCCTCTCCAGTTCTGTCCAATGTTTGTTCATTCCTCTCATATCTTTCTCTATTTCTCGGCGTAGTGTGTTCCTTGGCCTTCCTCTTTTCCTTTTGCCTTGAGGGTTCCATGTGAGGGCTTGTCTAGTGACGCAGTTGGGTGCTTTTCGTAGTGTATGTCCTATCCATTTCCACCGCTTCTTCCTGATTTCCTCCTCCATTGGAATCTGGTTTGTTCTCTCCCACAGTTCGTTGTTGCTGATGGTGTCTGGCCAACGTATACGAAGTATTTTGCGTAGACAACTGTTAATAAACACTTGTATCTTCTGGATGATGGCTTTGGTAGTTCTCCATGTTTCCGCTCCATACAGTAGAACTGTCTTGACATTTGTATTGAAAATCCTGATTTTGATTTTGTTTGAAAGTTGTTTGGAGTTCCAGATATTTTTCAACTGTAGAAATGCAACCCTCGCTTTGCCAATCCGCGCCCTCAAATCTGCATCCGATCCACCTTTCTCGTCGATGATGCTGCCCAGATATGTGAAGGTGTTAACGTCCTCCAAGGTATCTCCATCAAGCGTGATTCGGTTGGTGCATGTTGTGTTGCATCGGAGAGTTTTGCTTTTTCCTTTATGTATGTTGAGACCTACTGCTGCAGAGGCTGCTGCTACACTGGTCGTCTTCTCTTGCATTTGTTGTTGAGTGTGCGATAGAAGAGCCAGGTCATCTGCGAAGTCCAGATCGTCCAGCTGCGTCCTAACTGTCCAGTTGATACGTTGCTTCCCTCCAGATGTTGACGTCTTCATAATCCAGTCGATGACCAGGAGAAAGAGAAAGGGTGAGAGTAAGCAACCTTGCCTGACACCGGTCTTCACCTCGAAAGAGTCGGTTAGCTGTCCTCCGTGCACGATTTTGCAGTTGAATCCATCATAAGAATTCCGTATGATGTTGACTATTTTCTCAGGCACACCGTAGTGTCGAAGAAGCCTCCACAGTGTTTTCCTATCCACGCTATCGAATGCTTTCTCGTAGTCGATGAAGTTGATGTAGAGTGGTGAGTTTCATTCAATTGATTGTTCCACAATGATCCGTAATGTAGCAATTTGGTCAGTACACGATCGATCCTTACGAAATCCGGCCTGTTGATCTCGAAGTTTGGCGTCTACGAAGTCCTTCATTCTGTTTAACAATACTCTGTTGAAGACTTTGCCTGGTATTGAAAGAAGAGTGATGCCTCTGTAGTTTTCACACTTGCTGAGATCGCCTTTCTTTGGTATTTTGATGAGGTATCCTTCTTTCCAATCTGATGGTACTTGTTCCTCATCCCAAATCTTCTTGAAGAGAATGTGAAATATTTTCGCAGTTGCTTCCACATCTGCTTTCATTGCCTCTGCTGGAATGTTGTCTGGTCCTGCTGCTTTGCCGCTCTTGATTTGTCTGATGGCTATACTGATCTCCTCAATCGTAGGTGCGCCAATGTTAATTGGGAGGTCCGTGGATGCTGCTTCGATGTTGGGTGGGTTCAGTGGAGCTGGTCGATTCAATAGTTCCTTAAAGTGCTCCACCCACCTATTTCTCTGCTCTTCAGTGTTGCTGATTATTTTCCCTTCCTTTCTTTTCACTGGTCGTTCTGGTTTACGATAGTTTCCGGCGAGCTTCTTTGTAGTTTCGTACAATTGTCTCAAGTTTCCTTCTCTTGCAGCCTTTTCCGCCGTCATTGCTAGATAATCCACATATTTTCGTTTGTCAGCTCTGATGCTCTTCTTCACTTCCCTGTTTGCTTCTGTATACTCGGCTTGCGCCTTAACTTTCTCTGCTCTTGTTCGGCAGACATTGATAGCTGCCTTCTTGTTCCTCCTTTCTTGAATTTTTTCAAGAGTACCAACAGAGATCCATTCCTTGTGATGGTGCTTCTTGCGACCAAGGACCTCCTGACATGTTGAAGTGATTGCCTCCTTAATCCCTTTCCAATTGTTCTCCAATGTTGCTTCCTCTCCATTGAGTAGGTCCTGAAAGGCCTGGAACCTATTGGTGAGGGCTATCCTGAATTCGTTGAGCTTTACATTATCCCGAAGAAAGGCCGTATTAAACTTGTGTGATGTTGTCTGCCCCGCTGTCCAGTGCTTCTTTAGCTTCAATCTCATTTTGGCGATCAGCAAAACGGTGATCTAGGGCTATATCAGCTCCTCTCTTGGTTCTCACATCCTCCATGGCCCTTCTGAACTTTTTGTTGATACAGATATGGTCAATTTGGTTTTGAGTAGTGTGGTCCGGTGAAATCCATGTGGCTTTGTGAATGCGTTTGTGCGGGAATATTGTGCCACCGATGACCAGTTTGTTGAAGGCACATAGGTTTGCAAATCTCTCACCGTTTTCGTTCCTTTCTCCCAGTCCATGTCGTCCCATGATGTCTTCATATCCAGTGTTGTCCATTCCAACCTTGGCATTCAGGTCTCCCATAAGAATCGTCAAATCCTTTGGTGAACATTTATCGACGACTGACTGCAGCCTTTCGTAGAATTGATCTTTAACGTCGTCATTTTTAGTCATTGGTAGGTGCATAACATTGGATGACGTTCATTGTAATGTCCTGTTTCTTTGTTTTGAAGGATGCTTTAATGATCCTGGGTCCATGAGATTCCCATCCTATCAGTGCCTTTTGTGCATGTTTCGACAGCATCAGTGCAACTCCTTGTGTATGTGAAGCGTTTTCCTCTTCATGACCAGAGTATAACAGCAGTTCCCCTGAAGCAAGTCTCAGTTGTCCTACCTGTGTCCAATGTGTTTCACTGATGCCGAGCACCTCGAGGTTGTATCTTTTCATTTCTGCCGCAACTTGAAATAGTCTTCCAGTCTCCCACAATGTACGAACGTTCCATGTACCTAAAAAAATGGTTGCTCTGGTTGTCAGAAGAGGCATCGGCCCCGTGACTTCCGAGGGAACTCGGCTTTCATCACGAGACGTCATAATTCTTCTTCCAACTCCCAGGGCAGAGTTAAAATGGTTTGAATTATTTTTTCTGGTTAGCGTTTTTTTGGCAAGTTAGATTTCAACGGAATGGGGCCGCCAACCCCATGTCCAACCCTCCTCCTTTATCCGGGCTTGGGACCGGCAGTAGCCCCCAAGGTTCTACTGGCGGAGTTAAACTGATGATAGCAATACATATATACAGACGAAAAGTTTTTTGATTGGTGCTATGAATAAAAGATCCTAAATGATATTAGTTTTATAAATTTCAAACTTTCTAAATAGTTCTGTGCTAGATTAAATTTTTTTATTTTCTAGTAACATTTATTGCTCATATATATATATATATATATATATATATATATATATATATATATATATATATATATAGCTCGATTATGGATTCAGTCATTTTTATAAACAGATTTTTTTTTCGGGCTACTAAAATGAATAAAAAGAGAAAAATTGATAGATAGATAGATGATGTGCCACAATACTAACTCTATATGGGTAAGTGAAAGAGTACCTCATGTGATCAAATTATCAATACAAGACCCCGAAGAATTTTAAAACAAAGACAAGACTATTCGTCAGATAAATCATTCATTTCATCTAATTAAATGACATGCTTTTATGCAAAATATTAACACAAAAATAAGCATGTTGTTGTTAGAGAAGATCATTTTCTGTTTCTCACTTCCATCATTTAAGACTTAATTTGTTAGATCTAATTCTTGGGTATTGTACCAAATCTTATTTGTTATACTGTTAATTCATTGAAGTGCATGTGATTACAGCTAGCGCTCAAACCTTTTTGTTAATGTGTGTTTAGTGATAGTTTATTCCATTTATTCCATTTATTTACACAAAAATAAAAAAAAACACACGATAATAACCGATGGTTAAGAGGCCTTGAATGACATGGCCTCAAAATCGTTTGCAATGGCGCAGGTGCATCCACTGTTTGTGTTCTCTCTAATTCTAATCTTCTCGCTTCGTCAACACCTCTACCTTTGTATTTCTAAACTAATCTCACTGAATCATACATCTTGAATATTATCTTCAAATCATATTCTTCTCGATTACCAGTCAGTCAGTCAGTCAGTCAGTCAGATGCAACGTAGAACTTCGTACGTAAGTACATCAGTTCATGTCGCCATATCACATCAGCACAGAGAAGTAATTGTCAATTCAAATCCGATAGTAGAAGAGGTAGTAAAGGTATTAGAAGTAATCGGAGAGGTTAGGGTTAGAAGATACTATTCAAGAAGTATGATTTAATGAGAAAAGTTGAGAAAGTCAAAACTAGAGCGGTTGAAGAACCCAGAAGATTAGGATTTGAGAGAACATAAAGAATGAATGCACCGGCGCCATTGCGAACGATTTTGAGCCATGTCATTCAAGGTCTCTAACCATCGATTATTATCATCTCGCGGACCCCAACCAGGTAGTCGACAATTACCGACACGGCGAAGTCCACTCGTCGATGCCTTCATGTATTTCTGCCATGTTTTGACTTGGCCGCCCCTAACTTTCTTCCAACCTACTCCTACACTACAAAATAAAGCTCTTCGAGGCAGTCGGTGGTTGGGCATACGTAACACATGTCCCAACCACCTCAACTGATGAAGTTTCCCCACTTCATCGATTGATCTGCCATCCTTGCCTAGTACTCGTTTCCTAACGACAGCATTGCTCACTCGGTTGTCCCACGATATACGAACAATGCTTCAAAGACACCTATGATCGAAAACCAGTAACCTACGAATATCTTCTACTCTTAACGGCCATGTTTCACAGTCATAAAGTAAGACGGAGCGAACCACTGCACAGTACACTCGTCCTTTGATTACAGAACGGATTACCAGTAGTACTCCTACTATCTCTACCACTATGGTTTTTTGAATTGACGATTGCGTCTCTGTGCTAATGTGGTATGGCAACATGAACTGATGTACTTACGTACGTACGAAGTTCTGCGTTGCATGTGACCGACTGACTGACTGACTGACTGGAATAAACAAAAAAAACAATTAGGCTGAAATTTTGTAATATCTTAACTTCTTCAACAGATTTATCGACATTTTTAAATGTCTAAATTAGAACGACCAACAGTCTTATCAGTTCAATCTTGAATATTAATAATGGAAAAAAAATGCAAACTCTTGCAATGTATAATTCTACTTGAATTGTTATATTAAACTTTCTTTTCGTTACTAATTATTTGTTTACTTTTGATTACTTTTTAGCTCCACCTGTAATTCGCTCAAGATTTGGCCCTGTTCGTGGTCATGAAGGGAATCCATTATCTGTTCTTTGTGAAATTGATGGTTTCCCAGAAGCAAAAAAAGTTGTTTGGGAACGTTTAGTGGAGAATGAAAATGATCCGACTCGAAACAAGCTAGTTCCAGTGACTAATGTGGGTTTCCATTTCAAAGGAGATCAAGTTTTTTTTCTTTATTATACTCTGTATATATAGCTTTTATATTTCACACTCTTGTTTACTACACATCCAGCTTTATACTTTTAATCAGTCAGTCAGTCAGTCAGTCAATTACAACGCAGAACTTCATATATGAGTTCAGGTTGCCATACCACATCAGCACAGAGACGCGATTGTCCGTTCAAATCTCATAGTGATAAATGTAGTAGAAGTATTAGTGGTAACGGATAAGATTAGGGTTTAAAGATATTTTTCAAGTATTATAATCCAGTGAAATAAATTTGAAAAGAAAGAGAAATGAAAGAGATGATCAAGAATTCAGAAGATTAGAAAATTTGAGAGAACACAAAGAGTGAATGCATCTGGGCAATTGCAAATGATTTAATAGTTCTTTCTAATTCAATAACGCAATCAGTATTATAACATTTAGAAAATGAACTTTCTTTTACTACTTTGTGCATAGTTGCTCCTTTTGAAGAGAATCGATTTTGTTTGCTATAATACAAGATAGTTTCATCTCATCTTAATCTTAAATGAATCAATGGTTTCAGGTAAATTGTGAAGTCTAATCTTTGAGTCACACGGAATCATATCTCTCTTCTGTCTGTCATAATTTTAACAAATTAGTACTACGTCACATATTATCTGCCGAAAGATTGACAAAGACTTCAGGCAGCACATAAACTTCTGCATACCTATTGAACAACAACAACAATATATATATATATATATATATATATATATATATATATATCCGATTTCTCCAATACTTAATTATGTTGTAGTGTGCCGGCTTAATGCGTGTTCTTACGTTTCGTAATAAGCTCGTTCAGACTACCTTATCCAAATGACGTCTGACGGTTAATAAATCAGAAGATGAATTCTAAGTATCGTATACGTTTATTGTAGCACACCACAATTAATAACAGCAGACCACAGACAGACTAGCGAGCGAATATGCGAATGTGCGAATGTGCGAATGAATTAATAAGATAAAAATGTTCGTATATATACAAAGGAAAATGTCTGAGTCATCGTGGTATTTAAGAGATTAATATTAAAGCGAATAGGATGCATATGTGCGTAGGCGTTAACCAATGCTCAGTCATACTAGCTCATACAAACCAGATAATAATAAAAAATACCAATGGTACATATAAGTTATTGTTTTACAAATGGCTTGGTTAAATAAATTAATCGAAAGGGCTTAACCAAGTTAGATGTGAGAGAACTGAAGTATATTTGGAGGCACTACAATGTATTACGTTGAAATCATGAATGAATCATTGTTAGATGACCATTAGAAACCCCGCAGCACTTCGCAGCCTTTCCGTCCTGGTATGGGACTTATCACGACCCACAACTCCTGCTACTCTCAGGTTTCGAAACCAGAACGCCTAACTTCTGTAAACTGAACCGGCATCCAGCGATGTTAATGTATTTATTTTAGTATTTTTATCAGTCAGCCAGTCAGTCAGCTACAACATAGAACTACGTACATATGTACATCAGTTCCAGTTGACATACCATATTAGCACAGAGATCGAACTGTGAATTCAAATCCCATAATAGAAGTAGTAAGAGATTAAGATTAGTGAGAACACAATGAATGGATGCACGTGCGCGATTGCAAACGGTCTTGAGACATGTCACTAAGGATCTCCAACCATCGATTACTATCATCTCTCAGACCCAAACCAGGTAGTTGACACCTATCAACATGACTCAGTCCAATTGTCAGTGACTTCATGGATTTCTGCCATGTCTTGGTTTGGCCGCCTCTAACGTTCTTCCAACCTACTCCTACACCACAAAAATGGCTCGTCGAGGCAGTCGGTGGTTAGGCATACGTAACACATGTCCCAACCACCTCAACTGATGAAGTTTCATTACTTCATCTACTGATCTTCCATTCTTACCTAGCACCCGATTCCTAATAACAGCGTTGCTCACTCGGGTGTCCCACGATATACGAGCAATGCTTCGAAGACACATGATCGAAAACCAGTGACCTACGAAAATCTTCTACTCTCATTGGCCATGTTTCACAGCCATAGAGTAAGACAGAGCGAACTACTGCACAGTACACTCATCCTTTAGTCAGCAAACGGATATCTCTCTCTACTATAATGCGATTTGAATTGACAATTTTATCCGTGTGTGCTAATGTGGTATTGCAACTCGGACTGCTGTACTCACGTACGTGGTTCTACGTTGCTGTTGATTGATTGGTTACTCCGAGAAATGGAGGCAGACATCAGACGAATAATCAACAATTTGGTAGAGCTAGAAAGGAAGGTTGAGGACAGACTAGGTTGGTGGTCGGCCGTAAGTGTTTTACTAGGGGTAACAGGCATAAGTAAGTTAGTAAGTAAATACTGTATGTCTATCTCTGTTTGCATTGAAGATTTACTTTTCAGCATTCACTTGTTCCTCTTTTTGACTTAATTACCATAAAAGTTTAGACTCTAAGCATCATTTACGCCACACAGATTAGCTACTGCAACTGGTTAGAATCATCAAAACAGATAAAATAGTTGTAGAATGGGTAATGTCTTTTCTGCTAATCAATACAAACTGGATATGATGTTACCGTTGTGTGGTTTAGGATAATGCCTAATTAATTTTTGTATCGGACGCCTAAATGTGTTCAAGGACCTGTCTTACTGTGAAGACGTGGTCTATACACCCACATCCAGGTCTGAAACCAGCCTCGTTTTCTCTAGTCTGCTCTTCACAGACTCTACTTAGGCGTCTAAGTATATTCAAGGCTAATAATTTAGACAATATTAGTTAGACTGATTCCTCTGTGATTGTCACAAGAAGACTTTTGTCCTTTCTTATAAATTGGGACAATTAGCGACTGAGACCAGTCAGATGGGATTACATCCAGTTCCCAGATTCTACCTAGGATCTCGGTCAGTCTAACTATTAAAACTGGACCACCATCCTTAAATATCTCAGGGGTCAGTCTATCAGGACTTGCAGCTCGTCCTCGCTTCAGATTTCCTAACGCTTTCTCAACGTCATTAAGACTAGGGGGACTTACGTCGACTTGCCATTCAGGATGACTGGAGATCATAGGTAACCGAAGAGTGGCTCGAGGCCAGTTGAACTGATCCCTAAAGTGTTCTGCCCATCGATCCAATCTCCTCGATTGAGAATGGATAATAAGACCATCCTTTTCAGAAATAGTCTCACTCACATTCGGGTTCCCAATACCGGTTTGCTTGATAAGTCGGTACAACTGTCTGTTGTTGCCTATCGGCGCTGCCTTTTCCATCGCTTTTGCTTTTTCCGCCCACCACTGTTCACGGTCGTTGCGTAGGCTTTCTGTCAGCCTGCTCCTGAGCTGACTTCGCTTCTCGTCATGTTCAATTAATTTTTGTATACTTTTCATAAATTGTATTTTTTTGTTTTGTATGAATATTTTACAGGCTATATTCAAACCGCATGAAGGCACTAAAGATGCTATAATGGAATGGACTGATGCTTCAAATGCAACTGGATTTTATATGTGCACAGCAAAATCCGATTTAGGAACAGACAGTTTATTGTTAGAAGTTCGTATTAAAAGTAAGTACCCGACTACTACTACTACTACTACTACTACTACTACTACTACTACTACTACTACTACTACTACTACTACTACTACTACTGATTTGAATGTATTTTCAATTTTCATTATGTAGATTATTTGAACATTTTATCATAATACTGTTATGATGATGATGGATGGTGGTGGTGTTCGAGATATGAACGCAATACGAGAATGAATTCACTTCCTGACCAATGAGATGCATTCGTCCATCCTATAGGACATTTTTGATAGTCGTCAAATGACCTCATTTGGTTACTTCTGGCTATCTCTATGTTAAATGCCATCATTTTCACTACCTTGAATTAAAGCACATTACTCCAACTTATGCAAGTGTGGTGTATACTGCTCTCAATATGATTTATTCCATTTGATCTTCGTTCATCTCACGCAGAGATTATCATTGGTGATTGACACATTGTTAAAGGACGGCACATTTATCGTTACGTTAGTGACATCGTTCATTACCACTGCTAAAGATGCCTCAACTACTCACAGATTTATTAAGGCGTTCTAACGATCAAGAACGATGTTATCACATGCTATTCAAGCATTGGAGCAGTTTAAAAATGTCTTCAGCACAGTAGCATTGTTTCTACTGCGACGTGCTCCTCATTTAATATGCTCCTCACTTATCAACTCAATCACTCCCTGGTGTGTTTAACTCTCGTGTGTCTTAATGCATTTCGTTAATCGTTAACAATACAAACTAACCCTCATTAACCGATGTTCTAGTTTTATGATAATTTTACACACATGAAGTCATTAAAAACCTGGCAGTACTAAAAGACGTCCGTTTTGTCCTTGTATGGGACTCTTTAACGGCAGTACGTACTCATCATCGACTCCTGCCACTTCCAGGATTCGAACCCATGATTTTCGGCCTTGCGCGCGAACGCCTAACCTAATAATAATTCTTTAGTAAATTCATACTAATACTAGGAGAATTAAACTACACCGTTGACAAGACAATATTTTGGTGGAAATAACCATTTTCAATATTATAAATGACAGTTTTGTATCGTCTGAGGTTATGCAATCACTTGTCACATTATATACACTGGCTATTGATTTATCTATCGGTTGAACAATAGTACTAGTTCATTATTTCTATTTTCTCTCTACTACTTGCGAATAAAATGCTTTTTAATTGATTTTTCGGTTTGTTTTTGCTTTTACAGGTAAACTGGCTCCTTTGTGGCCTTTCATTGGAATTCTAGCCGAGTTAGTGGTACTTGGTATTATCATATTGATTTATGAACGTGCTCAAGCTAAACGTCGTCGTGATGAAGAAGATCGAAACACCTTGTTGAAACAAAATCCTAAGAGTGATCAAATGTAACCAGATCGTTAGGTAATAATAATAATAATAATAATAATAATAATAATAATAGTAATAATAATAATAATAATAATAATAATAATAATTGTTGTATGCCTCGGTTTTATATACCCGCAACTGGTTAATATAACTTTTGTTTAGCTGTGAAATACACTTGGCCGAATTTAAAGCGCTAATCTGATAGTTAAAGCGAAAAGTTCTCCCTAAATTTTGACACCACTGTGACATTTTTTGCACCATATATTATTCTAATGATTAATAATTTAAGTTATATGTCAAGAGTACAAATTGCGGTAATTGGATTTTAGCTATAATTTAATGATGAAAGGTAGAATGCTACTCTACTCAATTGCCTGAATAGGAAAAGTTGGTGGAATTGGGTTCGAACCCGCGACGTAATGAATTCTCATATCCAACAGTCAGTCAGCTACAACGTAGAATTTGGTACGTACGTATATGTCTCTTACTACCTGTTATGAAAGTCACGCGGAACTCTGTCAGGTAGTTCACGCCTATTAGCGGACTACTTAGTCCAGTTGTCAGTGACTTCATCGATTTGTGCCATGTTTTGGATTGTCTACCACTAGCTTCTAGCCTTTCCCTGACCGTATCTGTTACCTTGATGTGGTGGTCCGGCTTGACTATCGTGATAACGCAACCGAGCTATATTATCTGGAACATATTGTTGTAGGTTCTACCATGCCAGGCAGGTTGATTGGAGAACCATGAGACTAAAAGTAGCCCTTCAAGGTCTGAGGACGAAGTCGTACTGATGACTGTAGAGGGGTGTAGTAGTAGTAAGGTGTTTTCCTCGGACAACCAACATCTGCAGCGATGCTGCCTTCTCACAAGTAAGGAAGGGGTTAGAAAAAGTCGACCCAAAAAATGTCACACCTCACCTTACCTCGTGGATTTCATTTCAGTCTCAGGCGGTAAGGTTATTTGAAGTACGAAGCTAACAGGTCCACTTTCTATAGAAAGGCCGTGCGTAACCGGCCTCAAGCAGATGTCCTTTGGGCCCTGTGGTCACTCTTCCAGGTCGTTAAGACCAACGCTAATCTATCTTCCTTTTGAGGTTCCTTAAGAAACAACCTTCCATGGTGTGGGTAGCCGGGAAGTGACATCCGCCCTCATACCCGTAGCACGCGAGACCAAATCGGTCACAAACAAATATTTTCTTCCTGAACCTTTTCTTTCAGGCAACGTGATACATGTCCAAACCACATCAACTGATGAACAACATTCACTACTTCATCTATTGATCTGCTGTTCTTTCCTAGTACCTTTTTCCTAACAACAGCATTGCTTACTGTACAGTCCCAAAATAAACGAGCAATGCTTTGGAGATACCTATGATGGTAAACCAGTAACCTATTCATAACCTTTACTATTGGTGGCCATATATTTCGTACCCATATAATAAGATGGAGATAACTGATGTGTGTAGTAGACTTGTCTCTTAGTTAGCAAACAGTTTTTTTGGCCAAACCCTGTTAGCAATGTATATATTTATTTTAATGATGACAACTAAGTTCGGTATTTTTACTCATTTGTTTTTTCAAATTTTAGCTAGTTCTCTGTGATGAAATCGTGACTACGTTTGTTTGCTCCGTTCTCTTTATTGGCCTCTTCGGCGTCAGTAATAAACAGACTCTTATTTCAATACTGCTTTTTTGTTCAGACATATATTTATCTCAGCTTTTTTTTTGAAAAAACACGTATATATATCTCCCTTTTTAAATGACGTGTGCATGTGTTTATGTATGTATGGGCGCAGGTGAGTGAGCATATATATATGTGTGTGTGCGTGCGCGCGTGATCGCATATTTGTCTCTAATGCCATTTTTTCCCACTGGCATTGGGACACTAATGTATTATTCATTCTTCCAGATCTGGATTGACAGAAAGTATTAGCGCATTTCATACTCTGACTGCTACTATTGATATTCATAATGATCATAACAATCATCATCTTCATCATAAAACGTCAAACAACGTAACACAGTTGTTTCTATTTTCACATGTTACGTAATATTTTTTCTGCAAACAGAGACATTGTACCCTTAATACTACTTTGCGTACTGTTTTATTATTAGTATGATTATTATTATTGTTATTATTATCACTATTGTTATTATCGTTTTTTGCTGTGCTGCATTACTACGTACTTCTCTCTCTCTCTCTCTCTCTGAGTGTGAGTGTGTGTGTGTGTGCTTAAACAGCAGAAACACATTATTATAATCTATTTAGTTCAGATATATATATATATATATATATATATATATATATATATATTTACTTGCCCCCCTATTAGACCAATAACAACAATAGAAAATGTAATTGGCTGTGTTAAAATGAAAGTGAACGTTCAATTCCTACACGTCTACGCGTCTAAGTAGTAATCAATGTCTCTGCTTAGTTATAATATATATATATATATATATATATATATATATATATATCATTAGCGTTTGATCAGCAGCCCACCCCCTCCCTGCATTCTTCTTATATGTGTATAATTTGAATTGGCTTCCTATTTGTTGATAGACATTATACTCTTGAATCATGATTGGTGTGTGTTTATTTGGTGTGTACCTCTTTAGAAATACTTTTATCCTTGATCATTTAAAAATCAATAAATCATATATATTTATATACATATATTTAGTTCTTATTTGTCTTTTTTCTATAATTCAAAATGTAATTTGTTGTGCAATTGTTTGACTGAGAGCCAGATGATGATGATGATGCAGTAGCTGTAACTTTTTTTTTAAAAAAATGTAACAGCGGTCAGATTTGTCTATTGTAATGAATCCAATCGAACTAGATTCGTAGGCAAACTTCGTTCTGTATGTATATTATCATTGGTTAAAAAGTGATAAGATTTATCATGGTGTGAATACTTAAGAGGGTTGTATTCTCAATTGTATCACAGTAGTGAAATATTTCTTTTTTTACACAATTGGCATCTTTTAACACTGTACCTTTATCTCAATAGGAGAAGGTGGGGTGGCTTAGAACGGATTGACTTTAAAAGCAGCATATATTCAATCCTTGGGTTCTTGTCTCTCTCTTATTGTTAAGTCTCATGTATAAATTGACCTCAAGTAGTTGTATTTTATTCTTAACAGTCACGGTTCCCAGGTTTTGAAGAAGCTTATTTTCACTGTGTATGAGCATGAAAGAAATGACAACAATTACCCACATATATCTAGGATCATTCAAAAAACACTTTGTTTATAAGAGAGCGACTTCTTCACTTCCTAGTATTCTATCCTTACTACCAGGGACTCTCCGTCCAGCCAGTTACAACGTAGAGCTCTGTACATACGTGCCTAAGTTCAGGTTGCCATAGCGGTTGAGATTGTATAAGTAGTATTAGCGATAATGTAGAAGATTAAGGTTCGTAGAATACATATTCAGAAAATATGTGGCTGCGTTTTCAGTACATTCTGTTGTCATTCATTTGTTGTTGGATAGTTAACCGTTTCAAATTCTTTTAAATGCACTAATAAAAGTGTTTCCACAGGGGAAATAACAGTATATAAATGTAAGCATATAATCCTGTTTGCTTAGTTATCAAAAATGAATAAAATCGATCGTACAGAGTTACGCTTTGGACTAAAAATTTAACATAGTCAACACAGTTTTGCAGGAATTAATCCTCAATTTGTAAAATTCTAACCGATGTCAAAGTCAAAGACCAGTTGCCTCCACTACTAAGTTATGACCAACAAAATGTTTATTGGGTTATTTTCGAATTCACCTGTCTGAGTTTATACTGTATTACTTATATCTGTTACTTTTAACGGGACATAGACCACTGACTAGAATTCTTCAACTAACTCTGTCGTGAGCTATCTCTCTTCGCAATTGCTATTCATTCTTTTCGTATCTGTCTCTATTTCTTGGCGCTATACATTTCTCAATCGTCCTCTTCGCCTTTTACTTTGAATATTCCATATGAGAGCTTGCCTTGTGACGCGGTTGGATGATTTCTGTAATATGTGTTCTATCAATCTGCAGCGCTTTCTCCTAATTTCTTCCTCAATTGGAATATGGTCTTCTCTCTCCTACACTATTTTGTTGCTGATGATGTCTGGCCAACGGATCCGCTGTATTTTGCATAGACAACTGTTCATAAACACCGACATCTTTTGGATGATGGCTTTGGTAGATCTCCAAGTTTCCGCCCCATACAGTAGAACTGTTATGGCGTTTGTATTGAAAATCGTGACTTCGGTGTTGGTTGATAGACAGTAATTTTGTGTTCCAGATCTTGTCCGATTATGGGAATGTTACCGTTGGTTTGCCGATCCGCACCTTCATACCAACATCAGGTGCTCTTCGTTTATCAATGTTGCTGTCCATATGTATAAAGGTTTCTAGATCCTCCAAAGTTTCTCTGTGAAGTGTGATTTGGTTTGTGCATGTTGTGTTGTATCGGAGCATCTTGCTTTCTCCCTTGTGTTTGAGGCCGACTGCTTCTATATTGGCTGTCTTCTGCATTTGTGGCTGGGATGGAAGAGTTTGATTGTTAGCGATGGCCGAATTGCCCAGTTACATCCGAGCTGTCCACTGTAATTCGTGGTTCTTTTGAGATGTTGACATCTTCATAATCCAGTCGATCACCAGAAGAAAGAAAGGGTGAGAGTAAGCAACCTTGGAATGAGTCTTTGACGTGCTTTCTGTGCATGATTTTGCCGTGTAGCCCATCACAAGAATTCCATATGATATTGACTATCTTCTCAGAGAGATCGTAGTGTCGAAGAAGTCCCCATAGTGTTGTCCTGTGCATACTATCAAGGAAGTTGTTGTGTAGCAGTGTGTGCCATTCAATTGATTGTTTCACAGTGATCCGTAGTGTCGCGATAGGGTTGGTACACGATCCATCTTTACGGACTCCAGCCTTATGATTTGAAAGTTTGGCATCTACTAAGTCCTTCATTTGGTTTAGCTACACTGTTGAATTCTTGTCCTGTCATTGATAGTAGACTGATGCCCAAGTGCCGAAATTGCTTTCTTGTGGCCCAGAACCTCATGAGACGCTAAAGTTTTTGCTTATTTGATTACTTTCCAATTGTTCTCCATGGTAGTTTCCTCTTCACGGAGTAGATTGTGAAAGGCTTGGAAATTTAAATTGCTGGAAGCAGTCTTGAATTCATGTCATTGTGTGTAATTAGTCAATTCAACATCTCTGTGAAGCAATTTTATGTGAGTGTAGGAAAATTGTGGTTGGTTATGTACGCAAACTAATAGATATTTGTTGGTAATATATACATTTCTTTACCCTTTGTATTAATGTACTCTGTCGGTTATTTATTGTTGACTAATATATGCACGTTAGGGTCAGACTAATCACGTACTAATAATTTGAGTTGTGTTAAGGTCTGATAGAGTAGTTTTGACAAATCAACTGAGAAATGGTTACGTTATAATAAATTTTGCATTATAGTGTTATGAAGATCGTTGTTTTACTTCGAAGTCATGAATGAAAGGCGTGATCAGTGCAGTTCAACCCTATCATATGTAGGGAGTAACTACCGAAGACAATGAGTGAGGTTGCGCAAAGTCCTTAGATTATCCATAGTTAGACATTAACAGCGTTGGACGCTGGTCCAGTGCTCCAAAGGTTAAGCGTTCACTAGCAAGACCGAAAGTCCTTGGTTCGGATCCTGCGAGCAGCTGGGGTCGTGGGCGCGCACTACTGATGAGTCCCATACTAGGACGAAACGATAATCCTGTGCTTCCAGGTTTCTCTAATGGTTGTCTAACACAATGATTGATTCATAATTTCAAAGCATCTTACTTCAAATTGTGACAATTTATAATTCCATCCAAATAAATTACACTCACACTACTATCAAAAACAAACATTTTTTTATTATTGATTAGACTAGTACATATACACACACACTACTATATTTAAACTGATTTATGCAAATGATATTTATTACTACTGCTGTATTTGGTGAATCTATTTTTTGTTTGTTTAAATATATTGCTTACTCGTTGACACAGTGTACAAATGTGTTGAATTAATTAAAACCCATGAAAATTTGTCAGTCTATTTATCTACCTACATTTCATTTCATTTGTATAGTAGTAATAGTACACAAGTTATACAACATCAACTGATTATAGAAGAAATATGTATGTGAGTTATATGATAATGTGCATGCCTACTGTAAAAAAGAAAAGCATATATGTAAATTCTGTCTTCTCAGTGAAGAGATATGTGTTATGTTTTATTTGTAACCATGAATCGATCAATGTTAGACCATCATTGGAAACCTGTGTTAGTTTGAATGGAATTGTGGTATGTTTTTTTGGCACAATTTGTATATCACATGGTTTGTTCGATAATCACAACTAAATTGTGAAGTTGGTAGATAGAAGAGGAGTAGGAGGAGGTAAGTATTGATCAATCGTTGCATTATAAGTAGTCAGTAGTCTGTTTGTCTTTCTTCACAGTGAAATGTTTTATCTTTTAAAATTTGATAGTTCTATCTTGTTGAAATCATAAAATCAATCATTGTTAGACCACCATTAGAAACTTGGAAGCATTGAGAGACGGCTGTTTCGTCCTAGTATGGGATGACTCCTACTTTTCACGGGATCCAAACCCAGGACCTTCGGTTGTTGCTCGCGAACGCCTAACATCTGGACCACTGGGCTGGCATCTAACGGAGTTATTGTCTAACTTCAATCAATATGTGTGATCAGATTGTTATTTGAAATGTAATACACTAATATTCCGAAAAATGTTCATCGTCTCATTGTATTACCCAATAGATGAAATAGTACAGCTTTATCAGTTGAGGTGGTTGGGACATGTGTTACTTATGCGCAACCACCGATTGCCTCAACTGACAATGTTCTGTGATAAAGGTGTAGACTGGAAGAAAGACGGGAGCGGCCAAACCAAAACATGACACAAATCCGTGAAGTCACTGACAAGTGGACTGAGCCATGTTAGTTAGGTGTAGAATACCTGGTTGGGGTGCGCGAGACGATGATTACCGATGGTTAGAGATTTTGAATGACATGGCTCAAAATCGTTTGCAATTGTGCAGGTGCATCCACTCTTTGTGTTTTCTAAATTTCTAATCTTCTGAATTACTCATCACCTTTATCTTTCTTTTCTCAAATTTATTTTACTGGACTATACTCCTTGAATAATATCTTCAGATCGTGATCTTTTCAATTACCACTAGTAATCCTACTACATCTACTACAATGGAATTTGAATTGACAATTCGATCTCTCTATGTTAGTGTGATATGTAAACTTGAACTGTGATGTACGTACGTACGAAGTTCTGTGTTGTAGCTGACTGACTGACTGACTGTAGGCATTTACCTACCGACAATAATAGGTGGAGTTGCATAAAATCCTTAGATTAATCAGAGTTAGATATTAACACCGTTGGATATTAAGTGTTTGCACGCGAATCAGAAGGCCCTGTGTTCGATTCTTGTGAGAAGCAGAAGTCATGGATACGCACTGTCACTGATGAGTCCTATACCCGGACGAAACAGCCATCCACTGCTTCCAGGTTTCTAATGACGGTCTAACGATGATTGGTTTATGATTTCAATGTATAATACAGAGTCACCATTTTCATAAGTATTTGAGTACAATTTAACGCGTATATGTACAAATATATGTGTGTTTGTTTGTGTGTGTGTATATATATCCACGTATTCTGTTAAACAATGCGTTTTGAATATTTCCTAAGATTAAATTATTATTATTATCATACTTGAAATTCTTTTTTTCTATCTTTTCATATTGATTATAGCCGAATTATTGTTACATCTCTCTATATCATCATTATGACAAGAATGAAATTATCAGAAAATTATCGAAGTCAGAAGAAGAATACCAGAGTACAAATTCCTAACAAGTCAAATGATAATAACAATCAAGTGATTGTTGTTAGTGAATTTGTTCGAGCATTTGTTCGACGTCATGTCACTGAAACTCAACGAACTCAATCGGATTTATGTTGGCGTCCAGGTTCTAATATTAGTCATAATATAAATCTTTTGCCTCAATCAACCAAAATTCATCGTCAATTGAAACGATCCAGACGTATAACTACTACTTTGACAAACAATGATTCTTCTCTTATTGTGAAAAAGAGAAAGAGTAAATCTTTCACTAAATCATTATTAATTGAAAAACCATCTGTAATAGCTTCTGATTTACCAATTAAATTACATAGTTTATGGAATGGTTATTTCCAGTCAGTGATGTCAATGCTTCTCAATAAGTTAAATAATAATAATAACGCTAGTATTAATTTTAATATGACGAAAAATTTGGATACAGTTTTACGCTTGAATTTAATTGGTGCTCAATTGAAAATTTTACGTTCAACATCATGTCGAGTAAGTAAGTAAGAAGTAGGGTGAGTGATTCACGTTCTTTGTTTTTTATTGATTAATTCTTGAACACAAGCTGGAATCAGCTGACACTTCATGAGACTGTTAGAAAGATGTTAGTTAGTTAGTTAGATGTTAGAAAATATAAATCTTAGCATAAATATATTTCGGTTCAGCGATACTTACTGCCTTCTCACAACGAAACGAAGGCGTTAGAAAAGGTCGACCGTAACAATGTCACATCTCACTTTACCTCATGGATTTCAGTCTCCGGGGGTAAGGCCACTTGAAGAGCGGAGCTAACACTTTAAAAACTTCTCATCAAAAGGCCGTGGGTAACCGGCCTCAAGCAGTTGTCCCGTGAGCTCCGCAGTCACGCTCCCAGGTCTCTAAGACCAAACCTAATGCAATTTCCTTTTCAGGTTCCTCAAAAAAACACTTCCATAGTGTGGGCAGTTGGGAAATGACATCCACCCTCGTACCCGTAAAATTACACGAGATCAAATTGGTCACAATCAAATCCTTCCCACGCCTCCTAACATCTCTCTTACGCGTAACTCTAAAAGAATGGGCATGTTAACAAATGGAGGAATAGCAAAGAAGTGAAGGTGAAAATGTCAATGTTCTCACAGGAAGATAAATATATAATCAGTAACTAAAAAATGGTACGGTTTAATATTAAGTTCGAAGATTTACAATAAGCGTTGAACATTTTGAAGTACATTAGCTGCGTGCATCTAGAGCACCACTTACAAGAATAACTTCGAAATCGAATGGATCTGCAGTGAACACGGTGGCGTTCAGCTCTAATGTCAGAGCATAATCCATTGTAATCGTTGAGCACTTGTTACAAGTAGAGCTGTGTCATCGGCATATTCTAAGTCAACGAGCGAACTTTTGAAGAGTCAGACAATACAACTGTTGTATCTAAAGCACGTCAATGACAAAATTAAAAAAGAATGGAGAAAGTGGACAGCCCTGACGAACACCTCTTGATGTAATGAATTCTGATGACAGTTCTCCATAAGCTCTCGCTCGACCAACGGTGTTCAAGTAGAGAACCTGTATAAGGTTAGCGTGCTTCCTCTCGTACACCTTTCAGTGACTGAGTGAGTTTCACTGAACTCATGAATCGATCAATGTCAGACCACTAATAGGAAGAAACATGTACGCGATGGACGTCCGTTTCTTCGGTCTCGAGCGCGAACGCTTAACCTCTAGATCAATGACCAGGCATCCAACAGTGGTAATGTCTAACTCCCGCTCGCTAGTGTCATTGATACGCACTGCTGATGAGTCTCATACTTGGATGACGAAATGGCCGTTCGATAATTCCTAGTTTCATGCAGACAGACAGACAGATACAGCGCAGAACTTCGTACATAAGTACATCAGTTCAGGTTGCCATACCACGTCAGTTCAGAGACGTAACTGTTAGTTCAAATCCAAGAATGATAGCGAAAGTAGAATTATTAGCAGCAATGGAGAAGATTAGGGAGCGAAGATATGATTCGAGAAGTATAATTCAGTAAGATAAATTTAGAAGGAGAAAGATACAGATTATGAGGAGTTCAGAAGGTTAGAATTTCATAGAACACAAAGAGTGGATGCACTGACCCCATTGCAAACAATTCTGAGCCATGTCGTTCAAGGTCTCTAACCATCGATGACTATCGTCTCGCGGACCCCAACCAGGTAGTCTACATCTGCCAACATGACTCGGTCCACTTGTCGGTGACTTCATGGATTTGGTCCATGGTTTGGTTTGGCCGCTCCTAGCCTTCTTTCAGCCTACTCCTACACTGCAAAACATAGCTCGTCGAGGCAGTCGGTGGTTAGTCATACGTAACACATGTTCCAACCACCTCAACTGGTGAAGTTTCATTACTTCATCTATTGATTTGCCATCCTGACCTAGAACTCGTTTCCTAACGACAGCATTGCCTATACGATTGTCCCATGATACACGAGCAATGCTTTGGAGAAACAGATGATCGAAGACTAGTAACCTACAGAAGTCCTCTACTCTTAACGGCCATGTTTCGCATCCGTATAGTAGGACAGAGCGAACTGCTGCACAGTAAACTCGTCCTTCGGCTAGCAAACGGATATCTCGCCTGCGCCATAGGTGACGCAAGTCGGCAAAAGCCAACCGAGCCATCTGTATCCGTGTTGAGATTTCGTCAGTCACCAGGCCATCGGAACTGATGAAACTCCCCAGATAAGTGAGGCGGTCTACACGTTCGACTACTTCAGTCCCTATCACTAGTTCAGGTGCCGATACAACCTACTCCTGAAGCAACATTTTGCATTTCGAGGGGAAAATCGCTTCGCGAACATGCTTACGTTGTTGCTTATGGTGGTCAGTAGACTCTGCATGCATTCGATTCATGACGTCGTCAATAGTTTTTTTTTTATCATATTCAACATTCCATTTCTTTTGATTATCATTGTTACTCTTTTATTTAGGCAGGTGTTGAAGGTATTGTAATAATGGAAACAAAGAATACATTCTCTTTAGCTGTGAAATCACAAAATCAATTAACATCGTCGTCGTCATCATCAACCTCAACTCAATCTTCAGTCACACTTATAACTGTTCCAAAATCAGGTTCCTTGTTCTTACTCACATTACCTCAACTGATTACTAAACCAAACGATAATAATAACAATAGCAATAATAGTAATAATAATACTAATAATACTGCTATTCAATATAATAAAAATCAAAAAATTCAAATCTTGTTAAATGGTGATCATTTAACTTATCGTACAGTTGATCGAGCTATACGTAAATGGCGTTATACACCTACAACAGCATATGAATATAATCAAAGTACATTGTCAACGGAAGCGATTTTCTCCAATGTATTAATTGATAATGTAATCAATCAATAGTTAATTGATTTTCAATGAATTCATTAATTTAGTTATTGATTTATTGGCAGTGTGTGTGTTGTAGTTGTGTGCTTTTTTTATTGAGATGAGTGACTGACTGGGAGAGATGATTATTTTGTTCGGGTAAGAGAGCGAGCGAGCGAGAGAGACAATCACTCCAAGTTTTTAAGGTAATTATGATTTCTATTGTTGATAACCAGTGAATGCAATAAATTTTGAAATGTTGGTTTGAGTAGATTACTCTGGAAAACAATAGTCTAGAGAGTAATAAGATATTATTAGTAAAGATTGACTAATCACTCCTCAGTGGTGGCCTATTTTATAGATTTCTAATATTTAATATTGATCAAACTCCATTGATAATTGAATGATTGTTATTTTGATGGTCTGAGTCATATTGGTAAACTCAGACTTTCATTGCTATCGTCCACGTGATAATCACACCCATATCTCCACGTATGACTTGTAGATTGTTCTTCTAACCTCGATCTTGATTGGTTGTAATTGATACAAAATTCACCCAATTTGTCAATCAGCCAAAAAAATCATAGGATCAAGAATCAGATCGAAGGAGGATACAATTAAAATGCAGGTACAAACAACGACAAGTTTAAGATCAATAACAAAACTAATCAAGATCGAGGTTAACAGGTGATACGTGGAGAAATTCTACTATTTCACTTCTACTATCTGAAGTTTGTGCTGAAGTTGATGTTATTCAGAAGAACAATGAAAGCTCAAACAACCAAAACATCTATCTCAGAGAACTAAACTCCTCTACAAAAGTTGATTCACTTTAGATTTCGAGTTTGATGAGTACTCATCTCAATGCCTTCAGTTAACTCTGGGAAATAGATCTATTATTTGAGAATAGAATATGATACATTAAGCAAATCATAAGTCGGCAAATGACAAGTACATGTGATTGTTTCAGAAACAGTTTCCATTTTACTGGTTGAAATATGAATTACCGATAGGCCTAATCTCTCAAGGGATAGAGACATATGTATAAATGAATGTATTTATCTGGATAGAAAAGTATTGTGTATATTTCACAGATTGTAAGCACTTAACAAAAACTATACAGTAGCTGCTGTCAACGTGACGTGGTGATCGAGATTGCCTATGATTATGATAACCCAATCGAATTATATTGCCGATGACATAGTTCTATACGGTGAAGACGCTGACAAAATGCAGAGTCTCTTGACTACCTTAAGCAACAGTTCAAGCATGTTCGGGATGCGATTCTCCCCGTCGAAATGCAAAATGTTGGCTTGCGTTAGCGCCTGAACTAGTGATAGGCAGTGAAGCAGTTTAGCGTATCGACCACTTCAATTATCTTGGGGGTCTCATCAGTGCCGATGACCTGATATCTAACGAAATCTCGGCATGGATAAAGAAGGCTCTATTGGTTTTTGCCAACTTGAATCACTTATGGCGCAGGAGAAATTTCTGTCTACCAACGAGAGGATGAGTCTACTACTCAATATTTCGCTCCATCCTGCTATATGAGTGCGAAACATGGCCAGTCAGAGTAGAGGATATTCGTAGGTTTTTAGTATTCGATCATAGGTGGTTCCGAGACATTGCTCGTATATCCTGGAACAACCGAGTTTGCAATGATGTTGTTAGGAAAAGGGTACTAGGTAAAGATAGATGGATAGATGAAATAGTGAAACTTTATCAGTTGAGGTGGTTGGGATATGTGTTACGTATACTCAACTACCAACTACTTCGACGAGTGACGATGCCGGGTGTTGGAGTAGGTTGGAAGAAAGCTAGACGTGGCCAAACTATAATATGGAACAGATCGATGAAGTCATTGATAACTTCACTGAGCCATGTTGTTTTGTTTCAACTACTTGGTTGGTGTCCACGAGGCGATCGTAACCGATGATTAGAGACTTCGTATGATATGGCTGAAAACCGTTTGCAATGGCGCAGGTGCATTCATTCTTTGTGTTCTCTTGAATTCTAACCCGAATTCCTGCACCTTTATCTACTTATTTATTTCACTGGATTTTACTTCTTGAATAATATCTTCTAACTCCAATCTCCCTGATTACTGCTAATACTTCTACTACCCCTACTACAATGCGATTCGAATTGACTATTCGATCTCTGTTTTCTAATTTGGTATGGCAACCTGAACTGATGTATGTATGTACAGACGAACTTCCGCGTTAAAACTTACTAACTGAATCGAGCTATATTGACTGGAACTCTTTTGTCTATGTATCCTGAAACACGTAAAACAGGTTAGCTGAAGTGCCAAGTCATATTGTCCAATGTACAGAAATTGTTACTTAGACTTTTCAGTCACATACTCAGGACAACACAATCATGACTCATTCAGTTCGCGCTTCAGATGTTACCATTAAGTTATAAGTTGAGTGAAGACGAATAGTGACTTGTATTGGAATCCACGACAGGTGTTTCATCCTGTTTGGGATTCATCAATTTTCCGTCCTTATAAAACCATTGTTAATGTTTACTCCAGAACTTGAACCCTATACCAATAAAAGCAGTCCGTTGAGGACCACCTACATGGACCTTAGCAATAACAATAACGGGAAGACTTAAATAGTAAATAAATGATAAAATTCGTTTCTATTACACAAGTGAATGACTATTTTCTAAACTCAATAACTCAACCGATAGATACTGTGTTGGATGTTTGAAACGAACGGTAGTGTTTTCAAGTTTCACTGTGAGCATCAACTAGCTCAGTGTAAATTCAGCTGACATCCCTCATATAGAGAGGACAAAATGTACTTCCCAGCGTCCACTGTTAATCAATGATTCATTTTTTACTAAAATACTTGTTTCTTTTTTACGTGTATATAAATAAATGACTTTAGAACGGACATGTGCAAATTTTCTTATGCAACCTAAAACAAAAAAACTATTGATTTTATTCCTGACTGCTAGTTAGTTGGTTATGAAATGTCACACGTAAACGGATAATTTTTCGAACTATATACTATTTGTATTCTAGTGATTGTCTCGCCATTTTGAATACTTTTCAAATAAGGTCACTTAAATTTATTTTTTCTTTTTCACCAATTAGCTTACAAGTTAGTTGTGACCTTCGTTTTTTTCCATACTTAAGGTGAATGTTGTAATCTAATTATGTGATCTGAATACTACTACTACACGACACAAGTACATTTAGTTAGAAAATGGCTTTCATTTTGATTGTCATTATGTGTGTGTATACATAACTTGTTCAGTCTACCTACCTACCAAGCTTGTAAATTTTTCTCGGTTATTTGAAGATTTTTCAATTAGAGTTATGGAGATTAGTGTTTTTACACATTTGAAATCATCAATCAATCATTGTTAGACCACCATTAGAAACCTGGAAGCACTGAACGGCCGTTTTATCCTGGTATGGGACTCATCAGCACTGCGTATCCACGACTGCTGCACCTCGCAGGATTCGAACCCAGCACCTTCGGGTATTGTGTGCGAACGCCTAATCCATTGGACCACTGAACCGGCATCCGACGGTCTTAATGTCTAACTCTGATTGATCTACGGGTTTTGCGCAACCTCACCCATTTGTCTTCGGTAGTTACTGTCTACGCCCGACAGGGTTGAACTCCACTGGTCATGTCTTCTCACTAGAACTCCGAGAATTTCCTCATGAGGGTAGTCACTAGTGAGCACATCTTATGATATTTTCAACTAGAGTTATGGAGATTAGTGTTTTTACACATTTGAAATCATCAATCAATCATTGTTAGATCATCATTAGAAGATTTGATTGGTTAACTATACGACATCCTAGGTTGATTTTAATAACTATACTATCCTAGACTAAGACTTGCTTATCAATGGAAATATAGTTTTGTCTAGAGTCGTGTTGCCGAATTTATACATTCATATGTATTATTACCAATAAAGAGAGCCAATCAAAGATGACTGAATGAGAGGTTCATTTGATGACCTTCAGAAATGTCTTAAAGTACAAATGCACATTATTGGTCAAGAAATGGATTCCTTTAACTAACAAGAGCGGGTGCATATATTTATCTGCAGATATATATATTCATGAATGAGATGTCATTATATCGTACAATATGCCCACTAATGACTAACTTCGTCAGGAAATTCTAGTGAGAACCCGGGGCCAGTGCAGTTCAACTCCGGACACTTGCTCAGATCACCTTTCTTTGGTATCTTGATAAGGTGTCCTACTTTTAAGTCTTTTGGTACTTTTCTTCATCTCATAACTCACTAATTAGATCGTTGAACATCTTTGGAGTTGCTGCTATATCTGCCTTCAGTGCCTCAGCTGGAATGTTGTCTGGTCCTTCTGCCTTGCTGATCTTGATATGCCTAATGACCGTGCTGACCTTTTCAAATGTTGATAGGTCAACATCAATTGGGAGGTCAGTGGATGCCGCTTCGATGATGGGTGAGTTCCATGGGGCTGGTTGGTTCAAGAGTTCTTGAAAGTGCTCTGTCCACTTGTTTCGCTGTTCTTCAATGTTGCTGATTATTTTTCCTTCCTTGATTGTCACTAATCGTTCTGGTTTATGATAATTTCCAACGTGCTTCTCCGTTGTATCATATAGTTGTCTTATATTTCTTTCTCTTGCAGCTTTTTCAGCTATCACTGTTAGGACGTCTACATAAAGTGCGTCGGCTTTGATGCTCCTCTTCACGAGCTTGATTTAATTTATGTATTCAGCTTGTGTCTTGGCTTTCTCTGTTCTGAAAAGTCTGGTACTGATTGCTCTCTTTCTGTTCTTCCTTCCTTGGATCTTATCCAGAGTATCAACGGAGATCCATTCCTTGTGATGGTGCCTCTTGTGGCCCAGAAAATCATGATATGCTTATGTGTATGCTTCTTTGATCTCTTTCCAGTTGTTCTCCATTATAGTTTCCTTTCCACTGATTAGATTGCGTAAGGCTTCAAACTCATCGAATTCGTTGAGTGTGTCAGGATCCCGAAGAATACCCGTACTAAACTTTTGTGATGCGGTTCGTCCAGTTGTCCACTGTTTCTCCA